GCAGTGTGAGCTGTTAATGAGTCAAAACATGAGGGCTGGTCGTGCTGGTGCGTCACCAGCTTCCCACTTGCCCTGAAGCAGCTTTACTTTGATGTGGCTCAGTCGCAAAATCCACTCTTGGTCCATCTGACAAAGCCCTGATAAAGGACCCGAACAAGTACTGCGGCGTTAGCCAGACTCTGAGTTTATGTTATTTCAGGTGAGAGTGCACTTCTGGAATAACGTATTTCAAATCAGTTCTTTCTCCTCAATTCCCCTTAAGCCTTTCTATAGGAGTAGACCTGAATTTCCTCATACTAGAAAAAAATAGATGGTCTGAAAATAGGACGCACTGAGATGTTGTTGGAGTTAGTACAAGCAGAAAGAGAATTAGTATACTTCATGCTGCTGCTTGCAAATTTAAACTAATTGAGCTGTCTTGGCAAGGCTGCAGTTGAAGTCGGGGATGAGAGCCTCGCAGTTAAAAAATGCCGTACACAGCAGCAGCACAAATTCTGAAGAACGCTGACATTTAAAAGTGGGAAGCAGGCGCCCAAACAGGAAGCATTTAACAAAAGATGAAGGTACAACAGGTGGAGCAGAATCATTAAGTCCTAGCGAAATACTGAGTTGTTTAGATCCAAGCTTTGCTGTGATTTTTCTTTGATGAGGGGCCACCATTGGGGCACAATTTACCACTTACTGAGCTTGTGCATCCTAGGACTTTCTGGGTGTGAATGCCGTGATTTGGGCAGCTTGGGGACACCATTTATCATAGCATGTTCTGTGTCATATTTGACAGATATGTATCTCATTTGACTTGTAAATATTTACCTTGCCCTGATTTCAGTGGGAACACTGAAACTTCTTGTTTGCCTGTGAAGACCCCCCATCAGTAGCATCTGTGATGCAGAAATAGAAGTGAAAATGAATATTTCTTCTTTCCTACACTGCTTATTTATGAATGAAGACCTTGTTGAGAAATGGCCTGCTTTTGTACTAGGGTTTGTAATAAGAAGAAATGCAGAGATTGCTTCTGAAAAACTTGGAAGTGAGATTTGAATATGTATTTTGGGGCTGCTTTGTCATGTGTTTGAATATTCCTCAAATAAGAATCTTATAAAAACAATTCTTAGAAGTTTGTTATGTTCCTACATAGCAGTTCTCTTTGCTGTGTAGCCAAGCGTCAATGTTACAGATCAGGCGAGATATCCTTGACGTTTGGGGCCTCTCCTCTTTGGATCCGTACACGTGTAATGGAGACACTTCTCTTCAAAACTTATAGCAAAAGAACTGTTTCACTTATTCTCTCCCAAGCTCTTAGGCTGTCTCTGTGGATAATGTGTGTGGATGATGAACAGAAAATGGCATACAACAAAAGAGGCAATAATAGTTCTATAATAGTAGCAGAATATAATAATAATAAAAGAGCAAATAATTAGAAATTTAGAGTATTCACAAAATTAGTATTTTTCAGAATTCTTCTGCCACTGAGTTTCAGCTTCACCTTTGGTTGAGCAATCTGTACAGTAGTACTTGTTACAGAAAGTGTATTTAAATATGATCAGCACTTTTTATTCATAGACATTTTTAAACAAAAATTCTGTTATTGTTGCATCTCTGTTTTCCTCTTCCCCTGCCTTTTAGGAGAAAAAGGAAAGTAAAAATGACAAGTGAAATTGAAAAATATTATTTATTATACTTCAGAGCTATTTTATGAAAAACTTTTGAAAATGAGAATTTAATTGTCATTTGCAGAAAATTGTGCAAAAAATTAAAAGCATAAACTAATAATTATAGAAAAATACTTTTTCCTTAAGGGAAGTAGAAACTTCTTACAACTTACAGAAACAGAATACGGCTCTTAGGACTGAAAGATGTGTTTGTGGTATTTATTAAGTATGAATTTAGACAGATGTAGTGTAACAGGCTGTCTTTCTATATAGCTGTTGCTACACCAGAATTAAGTATGTAAAGTGATTTACAACAATCTAATTCCATTGACAAAGCAGGTAAAACCGGCATACAAGTCAGTTCCTTCGGGGACGTTTAGACCAGGGGTTTAGTGCCGTGGTGCCTGCTTGTCTCAGGGATCCTGGAAGTTAAACGCTTACTTTGTCCAGTACCAGAGTTAACTCTCAGGTGTTGGGAAGAGTAAAAATTTTACTGTCTTCCAAGCAGGTCCCCCTTGTTGTACAGTTTAGCAATAAAGGCAAAATTTCTAGCCTGTTACTTGCCTTTGTCCAGAGCTTTGTTTTCTGTCTCGTTGTAGGCTATGTGATCTATGCCAAGAAAAAAGCCCTTCTGGGATTAGTAGTTCTGGAAATAATGAAACAAGGAACAGATGGATTGATCCAGTCCCAGATATGGATTCTTGTGTACAGCTACACAATTCAGAGACAATCCAATGGTCTTTGTTACAATGAAATCTCACACGTATGGGCAAAATCATTTTTTTCCAGGGTTGAAATAAGCAGTGGTTAAAGGGTGTGGTTTCACAGCCAGAAGCGCGGCTCTTTCTCCACGGCGGCTCTGAAGTGCCTCTCCCTTCCTCACGCAGCCGTGCAGCTGGGTGGAGGAGAGTCCAGCAAAAACAGAGTCGGCGACACAGAGAAGAGTAAGAAATTAGTGTTAGCCATAAGGGTTTGCTTAGCCTGATCTGCAGACTGCAGGGCCGCAGGATCACTCCTGTCAGCCCCAGAGAAGGGATGAGAACGCGTGGCTGGGGACACGGGACTCCCCTCTGAGCAGCAGTGTGGGCTTGGGTCATCCTCAGCCGGCTGTGAAATCGCAGCTTCAGCCTGACCTTCTCTAACGTTGGACTGTATCGTGCCTTAAAAAAAACAAAACTGATCCTGTGGACAGTCCAAAGCTGAATGCTGCTCTCACGCCTGCTCACTGTGATGGAATCTGACCCGTCTGCTCAGCACAGCGTGTGTTACTGGACGTTTGTGACAGGGCTGGGTCACCTGGCTTTGGGGGGTTCTAGCCTGGTCACTGCCTTTGAGTTGGTTCTGATAATGGAGGTCCTGGATTTTAGGACAGTATTCTGCATTTTAGTGTTTGAAATCTAGCTGTGATGCTTAATGTTTCACCCATTGGCCTTTAAGAAAAAAGAATCTAAAAAAGGCTAATGTCTGTCACTGCTACATTTTCTTTTATTCTCCTGTACGAATAAAAAGATACTGGGCCAAAATCTGTTGTCCCAGTGTAAATCCAGTACATTTCAAGTGGAATGAGCTGGTACCTGTTTCTGCAAAGGTTTAACATAACCTTTTCCATGCCTATGTAGAAAAAAAAAGGGGGGGGGGGGGATACATGAACAGTGGAAAAAGATTTGGGGGAGGCTTCTCTGGCCTGAAACCAAGCCCTTTATTTTAGAATCGTAGTGCTGATTTTAGGGACTTGTTGGGGCTTCAAGTCTACTATCTTAAATTGTTAAATAAGCATTGTCTAATTAATGTTTAACAGCCCTTTCTTTAATAACTGGATAAAACCAAATCGGCTTAGTGGTCATAGTAATAAATTCCAGTAACAAATAGCCATTGCTTGATCTTGAATCATAATATCAATGCCATATTTGAGGGTTTTGTTTCAGACACTGTCTGCGTTTTTTTAATGAAGAAGATATGTTTGTACCCTGCCGGGATGGCACCAAGAAGGGTAAGCAGGGTCACTCCTGGATCCTGGCTGTGGCTGCTGAGAAGTTACCATGTTTGCACAGACTGCCAGCTGCAACCAAGAGTTCCTGCTCCCATGCTCTTTCCTAAATATCTGCAGTGATGCGAGTCTGTGCACAGTTAAAGGGATGTGACCCACTTGCCACTGGCATCAGTAGCAAAACTCCTGGTGAATTCAGTGTTTCAGGATCAAGGCCTAAATGACAAATTCTATATTTTGATCAGTGTCTACTTTCACTACTTGCTGATGTATTTTGCAAAGAATGGCAGATCGTTTTTGCTTTTCTCTACACTGCATTTGCAGGAAGTAATAGCATCATTGAGATATTTAGGAATTAAATGTTTTGATTTAAACACTAATATCTTTTAGCACTTACATGTAACAAAGAAGGTAGCAAGAAGAAACACTGCGACAACCAATGTGTGCTCCAGTGGTTTGCAGACTTCGGTTTTATGAGTTTCCTGGTCATCTGAGTTGCTTTGGCAGTTTCTTAATTCCATTTTTCCCAAGAGATTAATCCCTGAACATGGTATTTCAGAACCTCTTGAAGATGGCTCTTCAAGACCACAGGTTGCCCAGAGCAGCTGTGGATGCCCCATCCCTGGAGGGGTTCAAGGCCAGGCTGGATGAGGCTTTGGGAGTGGGAGGTGTCCCTGCCCATGGCAGGGGGTGGCACTGGGTGGGCTTTGAGGTCCCTTCCCACCCAAACCATTCCACAATCCCGTTATCAGAAAACACTAATTTACTGTGAGGGTGACTGGGCACTGTGCTTGTAGATTTGTTGTCTTTTGCCAAATACTTACACCAGAAGGATGGATCCTCAAACTCTTAAGTACGAACGAGTCGTGAGGATGTAATCAGGTAATGAGAACATATTCTCATGGTCTTGGACACATACAGACAGGCTAGTTTTCTTGGTGCGGTAAGGAAGAAAGCAGTTAGATTTGGCAAGGCAAACGCTTGCCTTTTCAAAACTGAGCAAAATGTCCATATATTGCTGAATGAAAAGTGCCCGTGTATTTGAGTACATAAAGACAACTGGTAGGACAAGTGTAATCAACTTTGGGACAATTAAATAATCTGGAAGATGAGTGTGTTTTCATTATCATAATAGAATTCACCAACTGTTAAAGCAATTATTCAACAGCAGTGCATAAAAAGTTAAAATGGCAGGGGCAGAAGATCAGAAGAAGAAAATCAATGACAAGATGGTAGTTAATTTCAAGTGAGTTAGGGTGAGATGAGAAGAGTAGAAAAACGTGGGATAAGAAAAGCAAATAGGACTTTAATGACATTATGCCTAACCATGTATATAATGCACTTGGATATTTGGTGTTAAGATGGTGTTTTATCTTTCCTTTCTCAGTCACATAGAAAAAATTACAACATGGCAAGATCCTCGAAAAACTATGAACCAGACACTGAATCACATGAGCCACCATCCCGCAGCTACTTCCACACCGATACAACAGAGGTCCATGGCAATGTCTCAGCCAAATCTCGGTGAGTACTGGATGTCACCTCTGTAGTGAAATTACAGAAGAGGGAGGAGAGCCCTTTTACTGATTAGCTTGCCAAAGTAATTTTTGCTTCAGGGGCAGCTCTGATTCTCCTATCAGGCCTAACAGTATGTTCTCCACTTCTTTTTCTTATTTTTCCCTCTTAGAGTTGTCACTGAGTGAATTCACACTGTTTGAGGTGAAGTTCTGACATCTCATGCATTTTATTTTAGAACCTCTGTGACAAATTTTTGGTGTAGTATTGAAAATAGAAAAATGAACTCTTCCTGTGTTTTTCCATTCGGAGGTGGTATAAAGCCTCTGCAAGCCCACAGTGTACAGCAAGCTTTTTCCCCCAATTTGTCAGTGAAAGTGAATCAAAGCCAAATCCTGTACTGGAATACTTGTGTACTGAATTTTAGAAGAGGGACTTTCTCATACAAAGGATTAGAAGCAAAAGTATACACCTAATTAACAGTCTGTTCTTAAAGGGACTTCAGGTGTTCAACAGGGGCATTTCCACAGGCTTCAAAATCTGTCACATCGGAGACAGACTGTATTTCATTCATAACCCTTCAGATTTATAGATGAGGTTCCACTTTTGGTAGGTATTTGTACAGTGCTTGGCATAGTGGTGCAGATCTGTGGCTGGATTTCCTAAGTATTAACCCAGTAGAAATAGTATGTAAAAATTTCCACAGTGTCCTTATTTATTTAATTGAGAAAATATTTTGCCAATATGTTTTGGTGAACTTATTCTGGTGGCTTTCAGAAGGCATGCTGTGACACTTTGGGAGCAAGCAGATCTGTTTGCTCAGCTGAGTAGCACTTTCAGCACCGTATTATTAAACTCAGCATCACAGTCCCTGATTTTCCAACCCACTTGTTTGAACACACTAAGTGTGACAGTATTTTATTTAAAAAATTATTTTAAAAGATGTAACCTAGAAACTGATTGCAATTACAAGATTGCAATAATCTGAACAGGATACAGTAACCTCTAAATACTTCATGTGGTGGTTTAAGATACATGTGAGTGCAGTTCCCAGGACTGAAGTAGAATGTCCGTATTTTGAAATTATCTTGGCCAAAAGGAGGGGCCTTTCTGCTCTTTGTGACATTAACAGTGTTGCTGTTAAACCTGCTTTCTTGGGTCTGCTCAGACACTGAAGTGAGCAATTGGTTGGGCTGGCAGTCAGATCTCTAAGCCTGAAGTGGTTGTGCCAACATCTTACAGACATCAGAGGAGCAATGGGAGCTGGATACCGAGTTAAGCCACTCTTCTGGCCAGAATTTTATAACTTTTTAGCAAATGAAGGCTATGCATGTCTTTTGCCTTAGTGTTTTTTTGGTACTGTAGGAATTAAAATAAGTTTTTCTTTTGAAGATGTGCCACTTAAAAGAAAGGGATTTAAGTATTCCAGGTCTGCATACTGGTCTGCACTTCCAATTACTAACACATGTGTTTTCCTTGCTATGCTTCTTATGAGGAGATGGAAAATCTGTTCTGTTCTGTACTGCTTGTTGCTTTGGTTTATATTCAGGAAACATTTATTTGCTGGTAAATGTACAAAGGCACTTACAAACATCTTATCAAAAGCACAGAGTGTGACCAAGTGATGCAAAATCATAGTGTGCCTGTGCTTGAGACAGAGGAACATATAGTGAAAGCTGATTGAGATTAGTAGCCATATCTTTAAGAATCTGCTGTATGTTTTTACCTTCTTTCTTACTGTGCTTTTATGTGTCTGTCTATAAGCTACACATACTGGTTTTCTTACAACTTCAGCAGTGTTAGTTTTCTCACTAACATTTAAAGCATAGCTTTTGCAATATTATATAACAAAGACATCCAAAGGTATTTCTTCCTTTGATGCATCTTGTTAAATTCACAGAAAGCTAATACGTGGTAGGCAGGTTTCTGTGCTCATTGACACACCACCACCAAATTCTGTGGAGTATGGGTTTTGGCTATGTGTACCAAGATTTAGGGGAAAAAATTAGATCCTTATAAAAGTTTCTTTTGGAACTATTTTTAATTTAATGCTGCTTGTTTTGTAGTCTTTCTCTGTTCTACGTTATGCAACACCCTAAACCATTGTTATTTTCATCCTGCTTCCTTGGGACTGTTTTAAAGAGATTTCTTTTGTGATTGTACTCTTCATCCACTTGGTGAGCACAGTCTGGTCTTCATTTAAATATTTTCCAAGTTTAACAGTTTGCAACTTATTTTGAGATAAAATAGGCTGGGCATCTATTGCTGGCCCTGGCTTCAAACTGGTGTGACTGGGATGGATTGAGGTTCCCCTCCCCTGGCACCTTTAGTTTAAACCCTCTTCACCAGGTTGTCAGCCTGTGACCAGAGGTGCTCTTCCCCTTCTCCGATGGGGAATGGTACAAGCAGGATCGTTTTAACTGCTAAGTACGCTGGTTCTCTAAGGTGAAAGACATTATGTGCTGCACAGTAGAATTTAACGTGAGGAGCCTCTGACAGTGACAACTGTTAGTGTTATAGAAGTTCATCCATGAATCTAAAAAGTGTAGCTTTCAGCCATATTGCTAATGGTAATTTGATTGGGTCTGGATACAACTGGGGATTGTGGCACTTTGCCTCTGCTTTCATTTTTTTTAATCAGACAGGAAATCCAACCAATAAAACAATGCAATAATCCTGTCTAAGAGCAATAAACACATGAACCAAAGTTTCCATATCCTGCCATGATAAAAGAGGTGTAGCCACTATTGTTTGGGGATGATAAAATGCAGTTTTGGTTGCTGTGTTAAAGTGAGTCTCTGGAGATAAGAACGCAGAAACTCCCGAAGTGCTTAAAAACAGGTGGTATGTATTGTAGTGAAAACTAACGTGCTTGAAATGGTCTCAATTTTGCAAGGCTTGGTTTGCATTGGCTGGAAATTTGTCTGCGAATATATAACGTTGAGAGGAACGTGTTTTTCCCTTGGTGTAGCCCGTGCCCTCACACCCCCTGCACGGCAGAAAGGCTTCCTGTTCCAGGTCATTCTTAATTAATGGATATCCTGAAAGAAGTGGACCCAGTTCGGTTGTGGTCAATGTGAATAATTTTGGCACCTGCTTCTGGACCATGAAATAGTACCAACAGGAGAGCTGAAAGCGTTGTAGACGACTTGCACGTTCTGTGTAAATGAGAGTTTTGTGGCACAGCTCTGGAAAATAACAGGGTTTGGTTTTGGTTTTTTTTTTTGTTATTTGCAATTAAAACCTCTAAGATGTAAGGTGTCAGGCAGGTTTCAAATGGAGTACCTTATTTATGTTTTAAGGACAGTGGCTAATACTTACAGAGACTAATACGAATTAATTTCAGTGTCAGGTAAATTAAGTCCAGGTATCTCAAAGGACACACACCTTTAAGCCAGCAACTGACTGTCTGTTAAATCGGAAATGTTAAAGGTTCACGTGTTCAAAAGAGATGTTGGTATTGTTTCAAAATTAGTAATTTTTAATTTTAGCACAAAGAAGTTCCTGTTGTGCAAGCATTTCCCTTCCAGATTAGTAATCTAGACGTGGCAGTGCAGGAGTGGAGTGTCATTTTCATAGTTCCAAAGTCAATGAAATGCAAAAGCTGAAGATTGAGTAAAACAACAGTAAAAATAATCTAGTAAATATTTTAAATAATAATAACGGTCATCAGTAATTGTTCATTAACATTAAAGCTGTCTCTTCAATCAAGCAGCCCTCACGGTTATTTGTTGTTACTGATTTATTGTTAAAAATGCTTACAGAGAAGGTCTCCGACTTTTAAATAACTTCCTGCTAGATCATAGCTTTGATGCTACACCTGCAGGTTGTTCATTTGGGATTTTTTAGGCTTGAATCATTGAAGACAGGGAAGATTAGTTAAATGTGAATATCACAGACCTTAACGTAACAGTTTAAACTGTAGAGAAATTTCTGTATAGCTGTTTTCAGCCCAGAAATCTGAATAAAGGAGTCTCTGTGCACTGGGATAGTATAACTTTTTGATTTAATACTTTACAGATTTTTGGAACAAAATGCACCAGAACTGAAAAGCAGCATTTTTTGCTGACCTTGTTGGAAGGCTAATGCTCTTTCTGGGAAATAAGTGAAACAAGCAGTTCTTTGTTGGCAGAAGCGGAGAGAGAAAAGGAGGGGAGCCTAGTCTTTTTTCTTCACAATGTCGTGACTAAGTCAAAACTGTAATATGGCTGGGTTCGTCCTCTTTTTTTTTTTTTTAACTTCTACAGACATTTGGTTTTCATCAGGCTGTGTTGCGTGACACCTGACGCTGGCCAGTTCGTATGAATTAGGCTCCAGGCTGCCTATAAACAGAGTGGAAAAAAAGATCCACAGTTGCATCCAGACACTTCTGACGCTAAAATAATAAAAGTTGGTGCAATTAGTTGAATGCATATGTCAGAAACAATTTCCACTTGCATGTTTTGGCTTCTGCAGCTTGCAGAGTCTCTTGCCCACAAAATAACCCTTGCTTAGTATGTGTCCAGCAAGTCATCAATAGAAAGGTCTCCTACGATGTCAGAAAACTTAATTCACTAGAATATCATTATTAACTTAAAAGCAATAAAATAATTTTTTCATTTTTCGTCTAACTGGAAAAAGAAAATTACATGGGTCTAACTTGAAATGTGAACTACATAGCTGTAATTCCATGGACCGCAATGGAACTGGCCACATAGTCCAGGTTTGGAACTCAGCTTCACATTTTTACTCTCTTTCATTTGAGCTGGAAAATTGTGTAATAGCTGTTTATTGAAGAGACTTACTTCGTTTTGCAAAATAAATTAGATTTTCCCCAAGAGAACTGAATTCAAGGCCACCCTGAGTCTGTCTGCTAGAATGGTGAATGCTTTTCACCTGATGTGTCCCATCTCCTTTAGCATAGAGTGGTAGGTTTGAGCTTTTTATATTTTCCTTTGTTTGCAGAACCTTAGAAATGTTACCCTGGAGTGCCACACCCTACCTAGTGAATTAAAGCTTACTGGAGACCA